TCCATCCATCCATCCATCCAACTTGAGATTATCACAGGCGCGTTTCTTTTAAATGTTTAAATTGAGTAGATTTGCACAATGGAATTACCAAACCATCTTACTCGGATTTCTCCGTCAGGCGTTGGGGTGACACCTGCTCCTCCTCCTCCTTCTATTCCTGCTTGTTCTGCTTCACCTTGCTCTTCCTCACCATTCTCTTCGCTATCCACAATCCCCCAAAACCATTTATGCCAGCGCGCATTCCTCTGTCTCTCCTCCTCTTCTGCTTCGAGTTCACTGGTGCTGTCTGAGGAATCGGGCCTATGTAGCTGCATGTATTCCTCGACTGTTTCCACATCTGCTCGATCACCGGTTCTTTCGTACTTGATTCGCGACATTTCTCTCAAAGATTTGAGTCTTTCAGCGTCCGGTCCAAGGTCGGTAATTATGGACTGCTTTCTCAACACTCTGCCTACAACGAATATATGGGAAAATTTAAGATGGCTTTAAGAGGATTTTTCAATAATGAGCAAATAATGGCAAAAAGCAAATGAAGGCCTAAACCTCAGCCATTTTCGAATAAAACTTTTGCTTTGGGTTAACACTTAGATTCCACTTTCATCGGTCATCTCCACTTCCAAAACAAGTTAAACTTTCTGAATAACAAGAATGTAGCCTTGTACAACAGCCTTTCTTCAAGAAAATAGTTTTTGGCGCTCACTGCTTGAATACAAAAAGAATTCTCTCTTAATAAATAAGATCTCGCTTTTTGATAGGTTGGTGGCGCGCGTTGTTATAGATCGTAGCAAACAGAACAGGAGTGCATTTTATAATTCACCATCAATTCGTATTTAAAATAATGGTAAAGAAATTTGTATTTTATAAAATATATCTCGTGTTCTGCCAATCCCCGGGAGTTTATAACTATACAGAGCACGCGCGCGYGTACTTTATCTAAAATGATTCAATATAACATGACATCCAGCAGTTGTAACAAAGCTTTGATAAGATATGGAAAACATTTAGGATTTGCGCCTCTCCAATCCAACAGATAGACGCATGTTTAACCAAATGAGCATTGAGTCAGCTGATTTTTGTCGAGGTGGAGTGGGGATAGTTTTACCTCGATGGTCCTTGTGACGCATTCTTATCTTCTCTCTGTGTACCACGAATTTAGGTGCCCAGTAGGACCTCAGTTGCTCTAATATTATTTTCTGTAAAGGAACAAATATGTTGTCCGAGAAAACCGAGATGTTTGGTTGACACAGTCTCTTGGTGAACTCAACAGGAGCAGAAAAAGATTTGCCGTCCAATTCGTTGTTCAATCCTCCACACATACTTTGCCATTTCATTAATTCTGTCAGCTCGAATGGAGATCCTCCCTTGAGGTACTTGTTTTGAATCTCTCGAAAACTGTAGCGTCTGTTTTGTGGTTTGGTTTGGTGGTGATAACGTTCGGCGTCTAACCAGAAGGAGAAGATGTGTTCTCCCATGGTGCCGCGAAGGAAGCGTCGAAAGGCGTGCATTCCCTCCACGCTGCTCAAGTACATTGCAACCAACACGTTGGATTCTAGAAAGATTAAACAGTTTATATATTTAAAAACGTAGATACATACGATTAGATCAGTGTCCAGTTATATGAAATTACCTTGCTGTAAAGATGAATCATACCTAATAATTAACCGTCAAAATTAATTATCGTACCTTGCAATTGAATCAACTAATTTTTAAGCATAGTATAGCAGTAATAAAGTAAGCGTTCGGTGTGTGTAATGAAATAGAGAGAATAAGAGAAAAAATCCCCTTGGCGGGAATCGAACCCACGTCTTCGGTATTCCAGTCCGATGTGTTAACCATTACACTACAAGGACCAACCACGCTGGTAACGCAGCCGGAATATGAAATGTAGGGTACTCGTGAGGATCCCAGAGCGATATTTTTTCTCTATAGGTAAGTTGAACACCAGGGCGCTTATTACCTAATTAGCGCTCTGTTGAACAACGTAAATATGTACGTAAAGAATAGACATAGTATATAGTAGTAATAAGGTATGCTTTCGGTGTGTGTAATGAAATAGAGAGAATAAGAGAAAAATATCAAATGCCATTTGAAATCTTTTTCTTTTTCTCTCTAATTTTAAAAACAGCTAGGACATAACTAACTAACAGATGGAATCGGAATTTAGCGCGTTAGGTTTTGTGGATGAGTAAATAATAACCGTAGCGTCCCGAAGAAAACCCCTCGAATCAAGGAGGACCAACAAACTCTACTTACAGTTTTTTCTCTTCTTCAATTCTAATAAATAACTTACAGGACTCCATTTAAACTAGTCTCRCTAAACTGGATGTTCCTGTATCAATATTTACTTAAATAAATAAGAAATAAAAACACTCTTACCATTGGTCGCATTCACGATTAACTTGCATAGCGAGTAATCCAGAAACAAGTCAGTCTTCAAGAAGAATGGTAAACGCGATTTTCGGACCCATATTTCGATTTTAGCTTGAATGACGTGCTAAAAGAGAAGAAGTATACGTTAGGATGGTGCCATCTAGCAACCATGTTTTGTGTCTATAGTTTGTTGGTGCACCGTGCTGCACTAAGGGGGCTCGAAACGGTTTTTCTTGAGCGCGCGCTCTAGGTCCGATGACGTAGAACTTGCAAAAGGAAAATTTTTGTACTCATAAATTTTAAAGTTTAAACTGAAAAAAAACCAAAAATTCTGCGCTGAAATTTCTTCAAATTTTGCATAGGGTTTTAGTTTATGTTTTCAAAAACTTAAGGAATTCCCTTTTACAGGATTTTTTTCTTTTTTGTCAAAAAGATGATTACGATACTGGCAAAGTTTAAATATACCGGTTTTTAAAAAATTTCATCATTTGGTTCCAGAGTTATGATTTTTTGAATAAACATATTTGATGGCACCAAGGGTTCTGACGTTGTCATAGCAACGTCTGACGTCATTTTTTCATGTTCATTGTGATCTTTGGTTTATAGTCTTTTGTATTCCGGGTTTACTTGCTGTCATATTATAGCCATATCAATTTTTTTTAGTTCATAATTGTGAGTGTATGTGAAGGTACAAAACACTTTCCAACCTCCTTAAGTTTGTTTGATCATTTGTTTAATTCATTTTGTGTCGTGAATGATTAACTTTCTTTGAGTGGTCCCGATTAGTGTCCGCACATTAACTACTTACATAACAGGTTCTCTTGATGGGAGGGTCGATCTCAAAGGTGCCATCCGATGTGCTATAGCGAAGCCTTTTGCCAAAAATCTAGAAGAAATATTCATGTTCAAAAACAAGTAATCATTGGTAGAAATAGTGTGAGCGATACAGATAGGAAAAACGAAAGACCATTTCAGAGAAAAGTGGGATAATAATTATGGTCAATCAATTTAACAAAAACAAAAAAAACAAAAAAACAAAACAAAAACAAAACAAACAAACAAACAAACAAAAAAAAAAA